AATCCTTTGAGTCCCACTTGTCCCTGTCACCAGGCTCCCAGACTTGTTCCTGAGCCCTGCCAGGGCTGTGTCGGGTGGCAGAGTCCTGCCTCCTCCCCAGAAGATTGCCTGGGGGTCTGGGGTTGATGTCCTGGTTGGGGGGAACCTGTGAGGAGAAGGACCCCCCTGCTCACACATGCACTGGGGGTCTGGGGTCCCTCAGCCTGGGGACACTGTGCCCCTCAGGCAGAGAAGCCCCAGGACTGATCCCCGAGCTCCTGCTCACCCCTTGTGGCACCCAGGGAAACTGAGGCAGGGCTGAGAGGCCTTGGGCACCACTGAGGGCACCCAGCCCCAGGGTCACCCCTCCTCTCCAGCTCAGCACCCCTGAGGTGCCTGGCCCCCCTCACCCAAAGCTGAGGCAGGCAGGGCTGGGGGCCCCCCACCCCGGGGTGATGATGAGCACCAGCTTCTGCACCTGACAGACCTGGGGGGACGTGGAGAAGGGGCCTAAGCCACCAGCATACTGGGGTCCTGCAGGGGAGCTGTCACCCTCCCCAGGGCTGGGGGCACTCATTCCCCGCTCTGGGGTTCATCCCACCCAGCTCAACACGGCCCCACCTCCCTGTTGGGCCTGTCCTGGCTCAGCACCCCATGGTGGGTGGGGGTTCAGGGAGTGGGTGGGGGTCCCACTGCCTGCCTGGGGGGCAGGAGCTCCCTGTCACGGGCACAGCCCTGGTACTGGGCCCAGGGTGCCCACCTGGCACCCAGGGTTGGGCTTGGCTGGAGGACACTCCTGTCCCTCTGACCAAACCACCCCCAGAGCTGCTCCACATGGCGTGGTTGGGCTTCCTGGGCAGGGGTCTGGGGTCCAATCCTGCCCACCTGGAAGCTTTGGGAGGACAAGGAGTGGACAATCCCTTGCAAAAACAGTGCTGGAAGGAGAAAGGCTGCTCCCCACCCTGCTTAAGCTTCACCTCCCTCCATGGGGCCAAGTGCCAGGGCAGTCCTGGTGCCCAGTGGGGACACCAGCAGGGACAGACCATGGCCTGTGGAGGAGAGGCAGAGCCCTGGCAGCTCTGGGCTGGCAGCAGCCCCTCACCCAGGCAGGTGGGAGCGCTGACCTGACACGGGACAAGATGGACACTGGGGTTTTGTGGGGAGCAGAGTAAAGCACAGACAGGCACTGAATCAACAGAACCTTCTTAGGGTAATGAGGAGGAAATTCAAGGAGGTTTCTGCCCAGCAAAAGCTCTCACAGCCACCCTGTGGTGCAGAGGCCCCAGCCCTCAGCCACAAGGTCCCCAGCACTGTTTGAGGGAGAGACAGCACGAGAATCATAGATTATGAAGGGATTGGGATGGACATTAAAGCTCACCCAGTTCCACTCCCCTCCCACTAGACCAGGTCACTCAAGGCCTTATCCAACCTGGCCTTGGACACTTCCAGGGATGGGGCAGCCACAACCTCCCTTTCCTGGGAGGTTTTCCCTTCCAGAGGGGATTTCTGGAAGGCTGCTGAGGTTTCTGCAGGGCTGCTGAGGTGGGGCAGCGGGATGAGCGCGGTATTTTGTCCCAGCAAGTGAGAGGCAGATGTTCCATGCAGGAGCTCTGGCTCAGTGCAGGAACAGACCGAGCCTGGAGCCACCCCGGGAACACAAACCACTGAGTGCTGCAGGACTGCTGTTCCACCCAGGAAAGAAAGCCCTTGAGAGACGGATTGCCCGTCCGACTTCCAAAATTCCATATGGACAAAGATTCTTCCCAGACAAAAGGTGCAGATTCCTCCCAGACAGAAAGCTCTTGCTGCCCATGGAGTGCCAAGAGTGTCCCAACAACTGCACACGAGAGACGGAGGGTCAGGGCTTTCTTTCCTGGGTGGAACAGCAGTTGTTCACTTTTCGGAGGCCTGCGCAGAAATTGGCCGTTCGACTCCCAAAATTCATCACGGACCACGATTCCTCCCAGACAAGAGGTGCCTGCCCAGAAAGCTCTTGCTGCCCATGGAGTACCTAGGCTGGCCCACCAACTGCACCTGAAACCCAAAGGTTCCAGGCTTTCTTTCCTGGGGATAAGAGCTGTTGTTTGCTTTTTTCAGCCCTGCGCTGAAACTGCCAGCCCGACTCCCGAAATTCCCTATGGATGAAGATTCCTCCCAGGGAAAAAGTGCCACCACATAAAGCTCTTTCTGCCCATGGAGTGCCAAGAGTAGCACACCAACTGCACATGAGAGACGGAGATTAAGGGCTTTCTTTCCTGGGTGGCACGGCAGTCGTTCCCTTTTCGGAGCCCTGCGCAGAAATCGGCCGTTTGACTCCCAGAATTCCATACGGATGCAGATTCCTCCCAGACTAAAGGTGCCCACACAGAAAGCTCTTGCTGCCCATGGAGTGCCGAGAGTGGTGCAGCAGCTGCACTTGAGAGAATGAGGGTCAGGGCTTTCTTTCAGGAGTTGGACGGCCAATTTCTGCGAAGGTCTCCGAATAGCAAATGACTGCTGTGCCACCCAGGAAAGAAAGACTTTACCCTCTGTCCCTCATGTGCAGTTGGTGGGCCAACCATGGCACTCCACGGGCAGCAAGAGCTTTCTGTGCAGGTACCTTTTTCCTGGGAGGAATCTCCGCCCGTGTTGAATTTTGGCAGTCTAACGGCAGATTTCTGCTCAGGCCTCCGAAAAGCAAACGACTGCCATTCCACCCAGGGAAAAAAGACCTTACCCTCCATCTCCCAAGTGCAGTTGGTGCACCACTCTCAGCCCTACATGGCCAGCAAGAGCTTTCTGTGTGGGCACCTTTTGTCTGGGAGGAATCTTCGTCCATATGGAATTTTGGGAGTCAAAAGGCCAAATTCTGCCCAGTGCTCCTGCAAGCGAACAACTGCTGCGCCACCCAGGAAAGAAAGCCCTGACCCTCCATCTCTCAAGTGCCGTTTGTGCACCACTCTTGGCACTCCATGGGCAGCAAGAGCTTTCTGTGGTGGCGCCTTTTGTCTGGGAGGAATCTTCGTCTGTATGGAATTTAGGGAGTTGAACGGCCAGTTTCTGCACAGGTTTCCAAAAAGTGAACAGCTGCCGTGCCACCCAGGAAAGAAAGCCCTGACCCTCCATTTCTCATGTGCAGTTGTTGGGACACTCTTGGTGCCACATGGAGAGCAAGAGCTTTGTCCTGGCACCTTTTGTCTGGGAGGAATCTTCGTCCATAGGGAATTTCGGGAGTCGGGCTGGCAGTTTCAGCGCTGGGTTCAGAAAAGCGAACAACAGCTCTTATCCCCAGGAAAGAAAGCCTGGAACCTTTGGGTTTCAGGTGCAGTTGGTGGGCCAGCTTGGGCATTCCATGGGCAGCATGTCCTGGCACCTCTTGTCTGGGAGGAATCTTGGTCCGTGTGGAATTTTGGCAGTCAAACGGCCAGTTTCTGCGCAGGCCTCCAAAAAGTGAACGACTGCTGTGCCACCCAGGGAAAAAAGCCCTGACCCTCTGTCTCAGTTTAATGAGACTGAAGCGTTTTCCTAAGGAGGATGAGTTATGAGGCAGACCAGACTCCTTCCTCTCAGCAGTTGTAAATCCGAAGTTAAGAGGTTGCAGTCGAGGAAGTATGGAAAAGAATTAAAAGATATATGTGTATTGGCAGAACAAAAGAACACGAAAGCACCTAAACAATAATCCCGTACCCAGAAGTCCCCTTCAAAAAGGAAACAGGTCAATGCTTCCCGTCCTTTGGCGCAATTCTAATCCCGGCTGGCAGAGGGTGCTGTTGGATCGCCGGAGGAGCAGTCGCAGGGATACGCGGGGTCAGCACCCCGGGAGCCCAGCACTGCACAGTCCAACAGCCCGTGGCTGTGCTGTGTGTCTGCTCTCCCAGCCACGCTGCCCTCCCAGCCCGCACCTCCCAGGAGCCTCCCTCTGTCTCCCGCACTGACCCCCAGGAACATCGGGGGCAGCTGCAAGGCAAAGAGAGGATGGTTAGAGGAGAAATTCAAAGCTTTCCTTGGGGTCTCCCCAGGGTAGGGACATCAATGGAGCCACGCATGGAGTACAGGGACTTATTTGTGGGATGCTGTGAACTTCCCACCCTTCAATATGCCTTGGGATGGATTTTGAGCCTGTGGGCACTTCTGTCTGGGATGAGCTGAGGGCACTGCCAGCATGGCACGGAGAGGTGACATCTCCTAGTGCCTGAGCAAGAGTCCAGCATCATCTTAATCTCTTAACCTCCTCCACTTCCAGAGACCCCAGTGATTGCTCAGAGGTGCCAGAAACTGAGCCCACCTGTAACACTGGTGTCTGATCTGATGGATATCAGTAGCACATTCCCTGCTTCCCACTCCCATCCCTACATGCCTATGTCAAAGCTTGCGTGGGTCCGTTCCCGTGTCACACGTGCAACCCTGCTTTCTCTTTCCTTATCCTGCTGCAGCCTGAACAGCACAGGGCATCCCTGCCCCCAGGGAGTGCAGCTACCGGGCAGAGCAGGCTGGGGCAGGATTCCCAAGGGGAAAGGCACTGGCTGCCTCCCACAGCTCTCCCACGGCTGGCTGGGACTGTAGGAGGGCAGTGCAGAAGAGCCCTGTCACCTCCTCCCACCCCAACCCTCCTCTCACCTGCTGATTGCTGGGAATCGAGTCTTTATCCAAAGAGACAACTTGAAACTTCACTGGAAAAGGAAAACAGAGATGGAGGAGTGAGTTCATCCTCAGGGAGGATGGAAATCCCCCCAAGCCCTGCAGTGCCCCTCAAGCAGCACTGCCAGGGTGTCCTGGCATTGCCCTCTGTCAGTGCTGGGCATTCCAGTGCATCCCAGGATGAGCCCTCCTATTCCCACGCAGTGTAGGAGCAAGGCTGGGCCTCCTGCAGCCCTCTCCCACCAGGTCCTTCAGCCCAGAGCAGGGTGGTGCATCCTGCCTCCATCACCTCACTGGCCAGGCTTGTAGACAGGTTTATCTGTCTATATGAAGATCCCAGGGTCCAGTGTTTTCAGCTTCACCTCCTTCTTCTCAGACACGTTCAGGGAATCTCCTTGGATTGAGATGTTCAGGTCTAGGTTTTCTTCCTTCCCACCGATGGGAGCTGGAGCCTGCAGGAGGAAACATCAGGCTGCAGGTGAGGATGAGCCATGGCCAGGGTGCTCTGCTCACTCTGGGTGACCCTGAGCTCTCCTCACCCACAGGGACACCTTCCCTGAGCCAGGGGCTGGGGAGAAATGTCCCCCCAACACCCTGCTCTGGTCTGCAGGTCTCCTACCAGGGGATTATTTTAGCCACTGGGTAATTGGGCTGAGCCTGGAGTAGTTCTGTCTGCATGAGGGATGAGACTCTGCCAAAAGATGGGGAAGTCACATCTGCTCCCAGCCCTGTGTGGGGTCACAGCCCCAGCTCAGGGGAGCTGGTGGAAACTGCTCTGCCTGGAGGCACCGAGGAGCCCAGGATATCCCCAGGACATCCCCTCCCTGCTCAGGGCTGGTTTGGGGTGACACTCACGGCGAAGGTGAAGTTCAGGTGCATCTGAGGCTGCTGGACCTCCCTCTTCAGCAGGTGATGGGGTGGGTTCTGTGCACTCCCAGCAGCTCGATGGTCACCTGGACCCAGAGCGTGGCTGGGCAGGGGTGGTACATCACAGCTGGGGCTGTGACCACACACCTCCTTGCAAGGAGAAGTGATGACAAGAGGGGTGTGGGGGTGAGACAGAACCCAGCACAGACCCCATAGAGACCTCGAAGAGCCCCTGGACACACAGGAACCTGTGCTGGGGTGCAGCACCACCTCCCCCAGCCTCCCCACGCTGCCTCTGGTCTCCCCTTGGCTTCCCAGCTCAAAGCAAAGGGCACCTGCAACAACCACCCCAGGGCCACCAGCCCAGCAGCCCCCAGTGCCACGTCCTTGATGTTCATGGGCAGGGACAACCCCATTCCCACCCTGGCCAACGACCCCCAACAAGGGAGTAGCTCCCTCCAGGAATTCCCAAGGAGCTGAGGCTAAAGCCATGCCAGCAGGCACAGACAGACAGACAGACACAGAGGGGGCTGCAGATGCCCCAGCCATGAGGTGCAGGATGAGGGAGAGGATGGGCAGGGCTGGAGACCTCATGTCTCAGCTGGAAGGGGATGTCTAGGACAGCCACAGCCTCCTCCTGCAGGGCTTGGATCCCTCTGGACCTGCGTCTGCCCCTCTGCAGGCCCTGAAATGGGATCTTTGCTTCCCATCCAGTGAGCAAACAAGGACTGGCAGAGGGATCCACAGGCACCTGCAGATATAGCTCAGGCCACGTTTACCCACAGCTTCCTGGGTTCAAGGCTCTGCTGGATTTTTGCAATATTGGGAAAGGTTTCTACAACCTGCAGAGGTTCAAACCCCGGGGGAAGGACTCACCTGAACACTGCTGTGCTGGGAAATGGTGCCAGGGTGGAGTGGGAACAAATGGAACGAAAATAGGCAGCACATGATGATGACATTGTATTGTATGAGTTTGTGTATTGTATTGTATGAGTTTGTGGTGATTCCTCAGAAAGGGCAAGTTTACAGGTGTTTCAAACTTAACCAAACAGTAGCTGTTTGGGCTGATCACACATCTGAGGCTGGATTTTTGCCCCGTTTCCTCCGGTTTCATTAAATCTGGGTAGAGGAACAGTAGAGGTAGAGGACAGTGTTGTGCTGTGGTGCTGATTCTGGCTGCTCTCGTTCCTCTTTGCACCACTCTTGGGAGCTGGACACCAGCCAGGGCAGGGGCTGAGCTCCCTCCTTCTGTCCTGGTGGGAATTCCAGAAAGTTGAGGCAGCTCCACAACAGCCACGTGGTGTTCAGAGCACATCCCCTGCTCTGCAGGGTTTCCTCCCTGCTTTGCAGTTCCCTTCCTTTTGGGGATGTGGGCAGAGGCAGTGCTGTGGGAATCATGGAATGGTTTGGGTTGGAAGGGACCTTAAAGCTCATCTTATTCCACCCCCTGCCTTGGGCAGGGGCACCTTCCATGAGACCAGGTTGCTCCAAGCCTTGTCCACCATGGCCTTGGACACTTCCAAGGATGGGGCAGCCACAGCTTCTCTGGACAAAACGTGCCATCACCCCACAGGAAGCCATGGAGGGGGCTGACCTCTTTCCGTGGGATCTCAGATGACCATGACTGCTGTCCCCAGGCCTGCCCTGCTCAGGTATGGCTGGATACAGCCCTGTGCCCACCCCCCTGCCCTTTGGAGCAGCCCCACACAGTGTTGGTGTCTGGAGGAGGCTGGACCTCCCACCCCCAAGGGCAGGAGTTGGGAGCATGGCCCCAGGTCCACCCTGACCCCTCCCCGGGATGCAGCCGTGGGTCAGTGCCCTGACAGGCATCCCAGGGTGGTTCAACGTGACCAGGAGCTCGTGGCTCCCCCAGCACTACCGAGGCCACCACTGACCCAAATGCCACATCCACACAGCTTCCAAATCCCTCCAGGGATGGGGACTCCACCACTGCCCTTGGCAGCTGTGCCAGGGCTGGACGACCAAGCAGCAGGGCAGGGTCACTGCAGACCCCATGTCTGGAGAGCCAGGGGAAGCAAGGTGCTCCCAGAGTCCCTGTGCTGAAGTGTCTTTCTCTCCCCAAGCTTTCACCTTCCCCTGACAGTGGAAAAGCCATCAAGGTCTCTGCCTGGGACCTGGCTGTCCAGCTTGGACAATGCTTTGCCCAGAGAAGCTGTGGCTGCCCCTGGATCCCTGGAAGTGTCCAGGGCCAAGTTGGACGGGGCTTGGAGCAACCTGGGCTGGTGGAAGGTGTCCCTGCCTGTGGCAGGGGGTGGGACTGGATGGGCTTTAAGGTCCCTTCCAACCCAAATCTTTCTGTGTTCCTATTAATGCATAACCCCTAAACTCAACCTTTGCTGGGCTCAAGGTTCTGAGCAGCCAAACCACACCCAAGGTGGTGGGCATGTGGTGGGACCACCAAGTCAGTTCAGACCCAACAGACTGAGCTGCACACTGGGAACCCTGGCAGGAAGGAAGGGATTAAAGGGGTTTTCTAGAACATGGGATGCTTCGTGTGCACACTGCCCTTGACCATCTCCCTGTGACAGTTCCTAGTCTGGTGAGTTGTTGCTCGTGGGAAGCCTCTTTCCTGCTGCTGATGTTTTGGTATCTGTCTGGGCAGACGATTGCCACAGATTTGCAGGATTTCCTCCATCATGAGCCAGCTGCTCCCGAGAGCAGGAATGGTGCCAATCCACAGTGCTGTGCCCTCGCTTGCCCATGGCTTGCAGGTTTTAGCTGAAGATGGGAGGTGAAGCCTTGCCCACCCTGCTCCCAGCACAGGGGACAGCCCCCCCCTGCAGTTGTCCCAGCCCTCCTGCAACCCTGGGGTGGCTGGGACAGGAGCTGCTCAGCTGGGAAGGAGCCAAATGATGTCCAAATCCCTGCCTGACTGCGAGGAACAGCCAGGGAAGTTGGCAGCTGGTGGATGGGCCTGGCTATGCCACGGTCTGGAAGCCATGGGGAGACATTTTGAAGCCTCCTGATCCAGGTGGGCACGATCCAGGATCCTCTGGGTATTTGGGGTTTTAACAGATGCTCTTCCTGTGCACTTACTAAGGCAGGGAGAGCTCTACCTCAGGGTCAGATCAGTGTCACTCTCCCCCTGCCCTGTGCTCCTCACGCCATCCAGCACCACACCCCGGGGATACGCTGTGGTGTCCATAGGGATGCTCCATGTGCACGGATGCAGGCCCCCAGCAGGTCCTAAGGAGAAGGATTCCCCCCCACACACACAGGCAGGACACGAGCACACCCAGCACCAGCTACAGCCTGTTTAATCTTGCAGCCTTGGCTCACAACTCAGCGTTGAGGATGCTCTTCCCACATGGCCACATCCCCCGGACCTCGTGTCCCCCCAGGCCACATGCTGCACTCTGGACTCCTCCCCAGAGCTGGCTGTATCCCAACAGCATTTTAGGAGCCTCTGGAAGAAGAACCCAGCACGCCCTTGGGGGAAGTCAGGGGTGGAAAATGGTGCTGAGAACCCCCAGCCCTGCCCGGAGCATCCCCCCCTGCCCAGGGTGCAGGCAGGAGCCATCCCAGGGGACAGACACAGCTCCAGGTGTGGGGGACACAGGGGATGCACAGCCATAACGAGGGGTTTCGGGGGGCACCTCGCTCTGTTTTTGGGGAGCTGCCTGGTCCCTGTCCTGCACTGCTCTGCTCCCCTTGCACCAGGGCACCGTCCTGCCGGGGCGGTGGCAGGGCTGGTGGACACATCCTCAGGGGACAAGGGGACAGCATGGCCCAGCCTCTGGCTGTGCCACCTCCCTTGTGTCCCCGAGGGACTCGCTCCCTCTGCCTAATAAGTGGTCCCAGTTGGGTCCTCCTGGCACTGGGGGCTGCCCGTGCCCCCACCCTGGTCCCCGCGGGGGTTCCCAGACATCTCAGCCAGGGCATCGGCCATGGCCCTGCGCACAGCCTCGGTCAGCTCGGGGACATCCTCGGGGCCCAGGCCCCGTGTTTCCACCTTGGGCAGGATTCGGATGGTGCACGTGCCTGGGAGAGAAGGGAAAGGCCAGGAATGCTGTTAAAGGAATCACTAGGAACCACCTTCACCATCAGCTGCCTCCCCACACCTCAGTGTCCCACGAAGAGACCCCCCCGTGCCTCCTCACCACTGCCAGCCCTGCCTTCTGGCATGGGAATTCTTGTCCATCACTTACCAGAGGTGAACTTCTTCTCCTTGGAGCTGAAGAAGTCCCAGTACGGGGAGATTACAATGGGGAAGATGGGAACCTATAGGACACGGAGGGTCAGGGGTGCCTTTCATACAGACCCCCTCCCCAGGTGGGACTCCAGCTCCTGTGGTGCCCCAGGCCTCAGCAGGTCCCTGTCCCACCCTGGGTCCTGCACAGCACAGTGCCTGTCCCGGGGACCCCTCCCCACACACTCCATCCCACTGTCCCAGAGTGCACCCCCACCCCGCTCCATCCAGGGCGAGCAGAAGGGGCAGATCATGGAATCATTTAGGTTGGAAAAGACCTCCAAGACCATCTAGTCCAACCCTTGACTGAACATAAGGATATTCCCTCACCTGAGCCTGCACAGCCAGGTGGAAAGCCCCACGCTTGAAGGGCAGCATGGATTTGTTCTGGTTCCTGGTGCCTTCGGGGAAAACCCACACTCGGAGCTGCACAGGACAGGGAGAGACGTGAGACTGGACCACAGCCAGGGCACCTGGGACCTTCTACATCAGTCCTCCACTCACCCCCTTTAACCCCACGGGTGTTTCCCCCCCCAGTCCCCCCCTCCTGCCAGCCCCCCTCACGTTTTCACGCCACATGGTCCGGGCTGTCTGGGAGATGACATCGATGGCCGCGTCTCGTCTGTGGCGGTCGATGAAGATGATGCCACTGAGCCAGCAGGCCCAGCCCAGAGTGCCCATGTACAGCAGCTCCTTCTTGGCAATGGGCACACAGCGCTCAGGAATGACCTCTGCCATGCCTGGAGGAGGGATGGCAGAGCTGTTAAAATACCTTCCCAACCCTGGATTATTTGAGGCAGAAAAATCAGCTTGGAAAATCCTTCACTGCTTGGAAATTTAACTCCCACGTTGGACAAAGCAGCTGAACACCAGGAACATATTTTGCAGTGCAGCCACCCCATCCTTGAGGGGTTGTCCTAGTTAGGACAGCTGAGACCAGTTCACCACGGTATGGGTGTAACCCAAAACTGTATATTCTATAGCCTTCCATGCCATTTCCCAGAAACTGTTTTCAATAGAGCATTTACACCCTCTGCCCAGAGCAGCCTGACTCCTCAGGCTATAAACTAGGCGTTAAGATAGGAAGATGTTCCTGTCCTCACACCCTTTTATGGAATTCCCCGCTCTGAGGGGAGGACTAAGCATTCCTGCCTGAACTGGAGAATATATAAACTTGGAGTTTTGGAACCTTTTTTACCACTTGTGGGATCCAGAGGAAGACTGCAGCTCACCGCTCTCAACCAGACTGCAATCACCACTCTTGACCAGAGTGCAACAGGTTTTCCCCTCACCTTTTCCTTTGGACTCAGGGGGCCCAAAGAACACCACTCTGTTCATGCCCCAGGGTGCTGGGTTATATATTTGGGGTTTGTGGGTTAAAACCAATTGTTTGCCTGTATAATTGTACTTATTGTATTATTTTATTAAATTGTTATTCTGATTTATAATCTCTCTTTTGAGTTGAGTTCATTTCCCCTGCTGGTTTACCTTTAAACCAGCACAGGGGTGATTACTGCAGAGAGGAACCCCTCCAGAAGGGACAAATTAGATCAGTGGACAGACAGATTATTTAGTCATTTACACCCTAATATAGCACCAGGTTGGATTTTTTTAAAAACTTGATTTAAAGGACTTTAAGTGGTGCCCAATGGCTTCCAGAACAACCCAGCCCCGTGGCTGTGGTGACCTGGCATCATCTCCTGTTGTCCCAGCCCTCTCTCTGCAGCACACCCCTGTCCCACTAGCTCTTCTGGGCTAAGCCCACCACACTTCCCTGCACAAATCCTGGGATTTGTGACCTCACTGGGACCCCCCAAAGCGAGCCTGGAACCCCCCCCCGTCCCCCACAGCACCCCAAAGGCTGCCCATGCAGTGATGGGCACACCCCCCTCTCCCTTGCACGTACCCACGAGGTCAAGGGAAGCTTGGTGGTTGCAAACTATCACATAGGGCTCCTTGATGTTCAGGTGCTCTGTGCCCCTCACCTGCAGCTTGATGCCACAGAAGCGTTTGAGGGGCAGGATCGCGGCGCGCAGGAGCCTGCGGAGAGAACCCGTGTGGGGAGCAGACCTGCACAGCCCCCAGGGAGCAGGAGGGGCCAGCCTGGCCTTGGTCTGCTGCTCTGGTGGCTCTGTGTCCAGTCTCGGGGATGCTTTGCTTTTCCCAGCAAAATTTATAGCCTGTATAACTCATAACTAACCCTCTACCCACCCCCAAGGTGAGGCCTCGGTGTCTCAGTGGCAGAGTCTGCCCTGCAGTTGCTGAGGAAGGACAGGGACCAGCACAAGCTGGTGGGAGAGGAAAAACAGGCTTTGTGGTGTCCAGAGATGATGGGGAAGCAAAAAGAAAAGATAAGATGAGGAGAGGAAGAAGAGGGAGGGAGAGGGAGGGAGGGAGAGGCAGGGAGGGAGAGGGGAAGAGGAAGAAGGAGGGGGAGAGAGGGTGAGGGAGAGGAGAGGGAGATGGGATGGAATGATCACATCCCAGTGAGGACAGCTGCCTCTGGCCAGGTGAGCTTGACCTGGAGGCTCCCCCAGGTGCCCAGTTGGATCTGTGTGTGGGCTGGAAGCCCAGAGCCCAGCACTGCACATACCCAAAGCCAGAGGAGCTGGACCACAACCAAGAGGTGCTGAGATGCAGATGGATGAGCTCTGGAGAGGGACGTGCAGAGGGACAGTTTTGAGACAGACAGGTCCACAGAGATGTGGATGACTCCAGGGCAGCACTGCAGGGACCAAGATTTGTGATGCAGGTGGAGTAGGAGAGGGCAGGGAAGGGAAAACCAGACCAGATACATTCCTTAGAGGAAATCACAAATAGCTTCACCGGACCTGCAATGTCGGGAAGAGGTGGAGGTTTCATTTGTGTGGCATCACACAGTGATGTCACATCCAGAGAGGGCTGGACAGGAAGGGTAAGATTGGGATGGCAGTGAAAGGTGATGCTCAGTATGAGAATAATGAGTGGAATGGAGGGAGGAGGGAGCAACAGGGATTACAGCACCACAATGGAGGTAAAAAGCTGGGCACCGTCCAATCCTCAGCACAAAGAGTACCAGTGCCAGGGTCCACATACCTGGCAGTGACTGCTCCCAGGGAGCCCACGGGGAACAGGGAAAGGGCTCAGCACCAGGTAGCAGGCAGGAGTCTGGGAGGAGAGAGTAGAGGCAGGCAGAGAGGGAGCGGGAGGCACGATGCTTAGAGGGTCCGTGGAATCAGAAGAGCACCCAGCCCTGCAGGCTCAGAGATCCCTGTGTCTGCAGAGAAGCAGTGCCCCAAAGCCAGGACTAATGACAGGAAGGCGCTCCCAGCCGGAGGCTTTGGGATTTGGAGGAGAGGGAGCTGGGCGTGCTGCTCCGGTGGAGTTTGGTGTTGGTGGGACAAGATAAGGCAGAGTGAGTCACCCCCGTGTCACTCGGGAATTCACCCTGAGCCGGAAGCGTTGGCAGCGGGGCTGGAGCAGCCCTGGATGGGGTGTGTGTGTGTGTGTGTGTGTGTGTGTGTGTGTGTGTGTGCACAGCATTCCTGCACATTCCTTGGCCATACTGATCACCATAACTGGTCTACTCTGGCCTCCAATCGGGAGGTCTGCAGACACACCATCTATAACACAGCTGTTTGCTTTGAGAGCGCAGCAGGATCACTCTCGAGGAGAAAAGACAACGCAGAAGGAATCGTGCCTTGCAGAATTTACCACCTAAGGAGTCCTTCTGCTGTGCCTTTTGCAACGGGACGTGTCTATCTCATATTGGCCTCTTTAGCCACCAGCGTGCTTGTAACAAACGTGGGTAGAGCCCTTCCCAAATCCTCGTTCTCGAAGCCTGGCCTGATGATGATGATGATGATGATGATGATGTGTGCACAGCATTCCTGCACAGAAAGGACCAGGCAGAGAGGCTGCACGACACACTGGTAACATCAGACCTTTGACCACACTCCTGCTGAGGGCCACAGTCCATCAGCACAGATCCGTGATGGCTCGAGCTCAGCGAATACCTCAAGCTCGGGTATTTTTCACTCTGACATAATTATATCTCTGCTGGTATGTTATCATGCCCAGGAATCCAGCAACGGGATTGCAACACCCTTAAAAGCAACCAGATCTTCCTCTCGTGTTGCACAGCGACGTTATCTCGGCTGCCACCACCCCTGAGCACAGTGACAGCGTGAGGACACAACTCATCGGGGCATGGCTGTGTCACTCCTGGCAGCTGATGGCACCGAGACACCCCAAAACCACAGAACCATGGAATGGTTTGGGCTGGAAGGAGCCTTAAAAACCAGCCATTGCCACCCTCTGCCATGGGCAGGGACACCTTCCACCAGCCCAGGTTGCTCCAAGCCCCGTCCAACCTGGCCTTGGACTCTTCCAGGGATCCAGGGGCAGCCACAGCTTCTCTGGGCAACCTGTGCCAGGGCCTCACCAGCCTTTGCCAAAGCATCATCCCTGAGGCTCCCACAGGGCAAGACCTGGCTGCAGTGCCAGGGAGACAGTGCTGGATGTGTGTTTGCACCCTGCTAACGATGGTACCTCCAGCCTTTGCCAACCCCCCCTGTCACCCACCCAACTGATGACCCCAATGTTGCCATCAAAAATGATCTGATTTACTTTCCTTCTTGCCCCAGGGACCTCAAGTCCCAACCCAGCTGACCACCTCCATCATGGTGGTGGTCACCACCACCACCTCCACCTCCCTGGGCATGGCCAGCACCTCTCCACCACCCCACAAGGTGCAGAGACACCTTCACTGCTACATGGACACGACCACAGCCCTCGCCACAGCCCAGGGCCCAACCACCAGCTGTGACACAGCTCCGGGTACAGCCAGGGCAGGAGAGAGTGTGTCCACGAAACCACAGGAGCTCCTCCACCTCAGCCAAGCCCAGCCATCTCCACACCATCTCCACACTCCCAAGGCCGTACTCACTTCATGTTCTCCACGGAGCGTCCCCGAAGAGCCGCGAAGGGGGACAGGATGGTGGCCATGGCCACGAGCCAGCAGTGGAAAAAGGCCACCTTGCAGAAGTAGTGGAAGGTGGTGTTGTACCTGTACAGCAGCAGCCCTGCCAAGGGCAGGAGCAGCAGCAGCCCATGGAGCAGGACCACCTCCATCGTGCTGCCCCTGGCCAGAGGGTGCTGGGGAGCTCAGCCCTCGTCCCCGGGAGGAGGGCGAGTGGCGCCGGGGACGCCGAGGAGCGTGGCAGGTGACTCAGGTGTCTCAGTGCGTGGGTGTTTGGGGCTGGTCCAGGGGAAGGTACTGTGTGTATCTCACCCTGTGCACAGGCCTGGGGATGGACCAGCTCCCATGGGATGCAGGGCACCCCACCGAGGGTGGAGAGTGGAGTGAGTCAGCGCCGGGACCCTGAGTCACCCCCGGTGTCACCCTGGGTAAGTGCCCTCCCAGGCTATCAAAAGCCATTGCAGTGACTCCAAATTGATGTGATCAGATCCGTCACCCACAAAAGTGTTCATGATCTGGGAATCTCTCCTGTCCAACCCTGGGAAAGGGGGGTCTCAGCTGGTAGGGACAGCAAGAGCTGGTCCTGGTCCATGCCCATCACCCCAGCAAGGCCTGTCACAGTTACCTGCTGGCACCGTGGCTGATCCCCAAACCTCACCCTGCAGAGTATCAGATTATTGGAAGACACCTCCCCAACTGGGACAACATCAGGCACGTGGTGCCAGTGCTTCCCACCTCTCTTCTTCCCCCAGTTTGGGAAGAGGAGCCCCTGTGCCCTTTCCCTCCCATCTGCCACCAATGTCCCGGCAATGCCTCGGAGGGCTGATCTCTGCTGCCCCCTGCTCCCACCCCAGGCTGGAGGAGATGCCAGCCCTTGTCCAGAGGAGGTACCAGCCCTCGCCCCAGTTGGCAGCCAGGGGCTGCATTGCATTGGGTGTGTTCACAGGTACAATTAGCACCACAGGGCTGTAATTAGCCTCTCCTTCTGCTCTCTTGCCCTCGCACTGGGCACACGGGATCCAGGCCAGCTCTGGGCTGCCCTGTGGAAACTCCAGTCTTGCTTTTAGAAATCAGGTGCTTGTCACTGCTCAGATAACTGTGGCCTGGTCTCAGCCACCAGCAGCACCTCCCAGCCTGGTGGGTCCATGGCCCAAACCACAGAATCATAAAATCACAGAACCACAGGATGGTTTGGGTCGGAAGGGACTTTAAAAGTCATCTCATTACAACCTCCTGGACAGGGGCACCTTCCACTAGCCCAGGTTGCAACTGGAGAGTGCCCCAGTTTGACCAGTGACCCAGAGAGGGCTCAGGGGTTACGTCCACCATGGGTGTTGCAATCCCCATTGCTTCACCCTCCCATTTCTCTCATTATTCTCATATTAAAGCTAAGATTGGGTGGTGTTTTGAGCCCACCCTTCCTGTCCACCCCATTCCAGGTGACTCCTCACCTCCTTCTTCCCTTTTTGTCTCTATCTGGAAACCTCCGTGCACCAGCCTGGTTTCCCACCAAACTCAGCTTTGCTTTTGGATGTCTCCCTCCCCTTCTGCTCTGCCCAGCCAGTCCTGCCACCTCCCAGAGGGTTCCCAGCTGGAGGAGTTGGGCTTTCATGCTGCAACCCAACGTGACCCTCCTGCTCCACATTTGGGGGCTTCTTGTCCAGCTTCAGCAGGAGCCAGGCTGGGGAAGATCTGCCTGTCCCAGAGCACAGGGAGGATAAAGTCTCCCTTCCACCCCAGAGGAGGGGCAGGGCAATCCTCGTGCCCAGTGGGGGGACCAGGAGGGGATTTAAGGTGCAGCTGCTCTTCTGCATCCTCTGAGCTCCAGAGGACCACCAGCCCTGAGGTCTCCTGCCAGGAACTCTTCTCTTGGGGATGGTGTCAGAAGCAGGGCTGTCACCCCAAAGTGGGGTTGGGGAGGTAGCAGAGGCAGGGAACATCTTCCAGCACCCAAAACACATCTCTCCCCACTTCCTCCAGCTTCCTGGTGGGCAGAGGGGACACTGAACCCTGGGAAACTCCGTGATCTCCCTTTTTCAGGCTCCCCCACCACGAGTGAGCTGCAGGGCAGATCCAACTCTCCCTGCACTCACAAAATATTCTGAGCTGGAATATGGTCCACAAGGATCATCGAGTCCAACTTTTAACCCTGCACAGGACATTCCCAAGAGTCACACCAGGAACATCCCACTCTGCTTCCCACCTCCAACCCCCAGCCCCCCCCCACACCACACCAGCACCCACACCAGGCACTGATTTATCCCCCCTGGGTACAAGAGGCTCTGCACCCCCCTCACCCTCCAGCCCCGAGGGAGCCCCCCATTCAGGCACAAAGCCATCAGCCCATGTAATTACAGATGCTTAATTAGTGACAGCAGGGGCTTTCTTAACAAAGCAAATTAATTACAGGCAATGTGCTGCATTGAGATCTGAAGGGACTAATGAAGACTGGGACCATCTGGGCTGGGAACATCTCCCCTCTCCCCACCCACCAGGACACAGCACAGCCCGTGCAGTCCTCATGGATGCAGAGATTGGGATCAGGATGTCACCTGGGGTTGGGTGACAGGCTTTGTGACACCCCCTGCCTCGAGGTGGCTCAGGGGGAGGAAACCACCCCGAACTGATGGGTATCCTGAAGCACCCACCCAGGATCTTCTGGGACCACAGGCTGGGATGTGCCAGAGGAACCACGTTGGGAAGGAGCCTCTCTTGGAGCTCACAGCCTCTCCTGGAGCTCACAGCCTCTCCTCCAGCACGCTGTAGTACTCTGTGGGGAAAGGGAGGAGCTGGAGGATGTGCAAGGGATGTCCCGCCCTGGGATCGGATGGATACAGGGAGCAGGGAGGGCTCGGCCTCGGTGGGGGCTGCCTGGCTGATCAAAGCCAGGGAAGATGTTCCTCGTTGAGGGACATGGGGAGAACGTGTCCCTACCTGATGCTGGTGGGACGTTGGGTCCCACTGTCCCCGTGGCACTGGGGGGTGGAGGAGGGGGCACCGCACTGCTGGAGGGGAGCAAGGACAAGTGAATGTTGCATTGATGCTCCCCCTCGTGTCCCAGCTTGGGCTGGAAGTCCTGTTCCACCGGGGACCAGGTGGCATAAAGCCCCCCCTCGTTACTCACACCTCATCCTCAGCCAACGAGCCCAGGAACCGCACAGCCCCCGGACCCCGATCCCGCCCCGGGTCCAGCCACGGCAGGACGGGAACAGGACCCGGGTAGGGGATGTAGTGATGGTGGAAAACCACAGCCTCCTCCTCCTCCTCGCTCTGCAAAGGCATCGCCAGCGCCTGTGGGGAGGAACAAAAGGCAGGGCCGTGCCAGCTCCTCGTGCCCCTGGGCCCCTGCTCCCGCAGCACCAGCCGGGCAGTTCCCACGGAGCCACACTTGGCTGCTCCCAGGGTCCAGCTGGGTGGGCTCGGCCCCCCACAAAGCCCCACGGTCAGCCAGCGTGGGGACCCGGCTGCTGGGGACGGGGGGGGGTGGCAGCCCCACAGAAGGGACCTCAAAACGCTGCTGGAAGAGCCCTTTTGATCCAGCCACAGCAGGGTCCAGTCTGGGCCAGCACTGCACTGGCGGGCACTGGGAGGGCAGGGAGGGGGTGGATGCCTAGAGGTGCCAGCTGGCAGCGAGCACAGCAGCTGCCCAGAGCCCAGCTCCCGCCCCTGTCCAGAAAGCACCATTGTTTCCCCCTGAGGAGATGAAATGTTTAATGTGATTTTAGTTCGAGGCGAACTTTAAAATGACAGCCCTTGCAGAGCCATCCTTGCCTGCTGAGCACACAGGGAGGGTCCTGGCTCTTCCCAGCTGGCCTAAACCACCTCCCAGCAGCCTGGATGTGACCTGTGCTGGCAGAGCTGGGGGTCAAACCAGCACAGAGAGCTCCAAAACCACAGGGGGCTGCAGAGCCTGCACTGAGCTGGGCTGAGACCACCCAGCTTCTGCACCTGGAGGAGTCCCATGCTGTGCCAGAGTGGGACATGGTCATTCTGTTCTCCTGAGCAGCCCTGGAAAGGTCCCTTTGCCCACCTCTTTGCTCCCTTGGTCCCCTTGCCCATCCAGCACCCCTGGCCCCTACCTGGGCAGTGGCTGGGGATGGGCCAAAGCCGAAGGACGTCAGTGCCGACACAGCCAGGCTGTTCATCAGCACCTGGTGCATTTGGGAGTTTTGAATCATCATCAACTCGATTAAATCTGCCAGAATGTGGAGGGTTCTGCGTCAGAGAGGGATCAGAGCAAGGGCAGGAGAAGCACAGCCATGGGATGGGGCGGCACCGAGGCTCGTCCTCGTTCCCAAGCAGCGGGAGCGAAGCCAGACTTCCCCCGCCCCAATCTGGAAGGCCCATGCGGCATTTAAAAATTCTTTTGCTCAGATGAAGCTTTAAAATAGCCATATTTCAGCCTTTTCTTCTTTGCAAATGTGATTAAACATCTGGTCTGGCTCGCTGGAGGCTGATTAGTGGTGCTGGAGGCATCAGACTTTCCACCCGCTCAGAGAACTGCTCCGGCTCTGGCAGCGAGCCATGGCTTGGCAAAGCCTCTGCCTTGGCACCAGCTGCCAGAGCTGGTGTCCTTGGGGTGGCAGGGCATGGGAGCACACCCAGGTCAGCTCTGCTTTGTGCCATGTCACACACAGGATGCTCAGAAACCCCCGGAGGAGGCAGGAGCTGGGGCGGGACCGCGGGGATGATCCCCAGGGCCCCCATCTCCATTCCTGGGAGCTGGGTCTGGGAGAAGAGCAGGTTGGGGATGTTTGGTGCCTCCCCAGCCCCTGCCTGGCTCCACACCAGGATCTGCGACCCAGAGCAGCTGTGCATGTGCAGATCAGCATCCCAGTCCCCTTGGCTGAGTTTCCCCTTGGCTGAGGTCAGTCGGACTGCAGAGGACACACAGTCTGGGTCTGCATCCCCAACAGAACATACCCATTTGATGCAGGTGGGAAATTCCCCTGGAAAATACCTGTAAAGCTGCCAGAGGGGCTCCCCCTGAGATCCTGCTGGCTTTGTGCATGAGACCTGCCCAGAGAAGCTGTGGCTGCCCCATCCCTGGAAGTCTGGACAGGGCTCAGAGCAACCTGATCTGGTGGAAGGTGTCTCTGCCCATGGCAGAGGGTTGGAACTGGATGAGCTTCAAGGTGCCTTCCAAACCAAACCATTCTGGAATTCCATGATTCCGTGACCTGTGAGTCCCTGTTAGTTGGAGTCTGGGTAAAAAAAAGGTTTGGGCATCCCTGTGCCCCATGTGCCAGATCCCCAAATGCTTCAGAACTGCAGGGATGGGCTCCCAGGACACCCATGAGGTGAGTGGCCCTTCAGCAAGGAGCATCCCAGCACAGCCTGGGAGGTGGCCGGAGCTGGAGCTGGGAGGAAGGAGTGGGCCAGCAGCCAGGCATTGAACCAGGGGGGAAGGACATGAAGTTCTGGCAGCTCTGAATGGATCCCACCCACGCCCAGGGCTCTGAGGGGCTGGGCTGGGTCTCTGTTTTCTTTCCACACCAATTTTCAGCATCATCTTTCCTCCATGGATTTTAAGGACAATTCAACCTTCCTCCTCCCCACAACGCTGCACAGCTTTGTCCACGGCCTGTACTCAGAGCCCACAAGCCCCCCTGTTTCTGCTCCCCCAGCCCTGGGGGGCACAAGGTTGGGTAAAATCCCTACAGACAGTTGCACATCCTGCCTGCACATCCCACGGGCTGCCACATGTCCCAGCTTGTTCCCATTTGGTCCCATCTCACATGGCCATGGAGCCCCTGTCACCCTGGCTGTCTCTGGTGATGCTACCCATGCCCTCATGAAATGGGGCTTTGGACAAAAGAAGTAGATGAATTAAAAGCAAACAAACAACAAAACCCAAACAAAACCAAAACCCCAAACCCCAAACAAACAAACAAACAAAACCCCAAACCCCCAAAAATGTTCCCCGGGAGCACCCCTGGTGTGGCCAAAGCCAGCCCAGACTTCAAGTTTGGTAAAACCCCCCAAAAAGCCCCTTCCATGGGGCAAAGCAGCCGTCCAAGGGTGGTGCGGCTGTTCCTGAGAGGCTCCAGAGGGTGGGCACAGCCCCCCTGCCTGCCCCGCGCCGGGAAAAGGCTGGAAAAAGAGAAGAGGATGAAGCTGAGCTGGGTTTAGCGCTGACCTCTGCGACCTCTCCCATCACGCACCTCCCCGGACGGGCGGGGGTCCCGCGGGGGGGGCCAGGACAGCCCCGGGCCCTGGAAGCTGCTGGAGGATCATCACGGGCTGCTGGGACACCGGCACGGCTCCCTGGGGACATCGCAGGGATCGGAGCTGGAAGGGAGGAGGGGAAGGAAAACGCCAGGAATGTCCGCTCCGGGTTTAACTGAGTGCCCTGTCAGTGGGGCAGCCGGGGAGGAGACGGGACAGGGTCTGGTGGCAGGGAGCAGGGAGCAGGGATCAGGGAGCAGGGAGCAGGGAGGGGAGCTGCTCCCCGGGGGAAGGGGGTGGGAGCGTCGGAGGAGGGGGTCACTTCCTCTGCCCCCCGTCTTTCCAGGGGCGCAGCCCTGCAAACGTGGGTGAACGGCACCCCTGGAGAGTCCCCACCTTTGGGGACACGTCCCTGCGCAGGGACGGCCTTCCCGGCTCTAAAGGGAGCAGGGAGGCGTTTTGTACCGAGCGGCTTTGCTGCCCCACAACCCTCAGTGCCCCCCCAAAATCCCGACCCCAGCCCCTCTCTCCTCCCGCCTCATTCCATTTCCCACCCCCTATCCAGTGCCCCCCCAAAATCCCGACCCCAGCCCCTCTCTCCTCCCGCCTCATTCCATTTCCCACCCCCTATCCCGTAAATCCAGAGGCAGAACTGCTCTCCGGGGCTTACGCTGGGTGGGATGAAGTGGGTCCCTGCTGGGGGGTCCCCCCGGGCCCCGTGAGGGTCTCCTGCTGCCCCCCTTTCCATGGCTCAGGCGATGGGGGGGTGGATCCACAACAGGAGCCGGGATCGTTGCCACGGCTGCGGGGGAGAAACAAACCCGGAGGCTTGGCCGGGCAAGGAATGTCCCTGGGCTGGTTTTCCCCGCAGCGTATCCCCAGGAAAGGTCCTTTCCAGCGCTGGCAAAAGCACCCGGAGGGGCCGGGAGGCACCTGCAGCGTGTCCCCGTGGGGCTGAGCCGTGTCCCCTGACCCCGGGGGAGCCCCGGGATGGGAGAGCAAACCCGGCGAGGTGTTTCTGCAGGGAATGGTGGGAGAGGGGTCTGGCTGAGTCTGGGGCAGGTTTGGGTGTCAGAATGGGGTTGGCTCTTCCAGGATGTGCAGTGCCTGCTGTCTGATGGAGACACCCCTGCCCGTCTGTCTCTGTTGGTGGAGGGAGAAGATCCTTCCAAGCCACGGGATGTCCCCTCATAGGTCCTCAGAAACACCCCCCCGGGCACAACCAAGGCACAGTGGCCCAGGATGTCCCTCAGCCTCAGTCTGGTCGCCAAGATGTCCATGGCACAGTTCCAGGTGCCCTGGCTCTGTCTCCCAACCTTCTGGACCACTTCCTCAGGGATGCAATGACCAACCAGCACATCCCCCCATGGAAATCCCAGCAAGGCTTGGCGTGAGCACAAACCAGTGGCACCAGAGCGTGGCTCCAGCCTGCTGCTCTCCCCTGCCACCAGTGCCTCCCAGGATCCTGCCAGGGGGATTTGTGTCCAGCAGACCACAACCAGCTCAGGTTTTCCATTTATCTCCCCCTTGCAGAGAGCTCTGCATGTCCCAGCTCATCCCAGGGAAACGCTGTGCCTGGGAATGGTGAGTCTGTGTGAAACATTTAATCCCCAGCAAACCCTTTGCAGTGAAAAACCACTTTTCCCCCTCCAAGAGCCCAACCCCGCCGGCCTCAGGTATCTCTCCCCCACCTCCACCAGCTGCATTTCCGTGGCTGCCCCTCTGGGGGATTATTTCCATGGATATTGCATCCAAAATCTGCCCTGCACCAGTAGCACAGATCTGGGAACTTTTCCCAGGAACTCAGCCTGCAGCCAGCCCTGCTCAGCAAGCAGGGACAGATCTCTCCAAAAACTCTTGTTCTGCCCCAGAATGGCACCGAGACCCCCCAAGTGCCAGGGGAGGAGCTCTCCAAGGGCCTCAGCCCCCAACCATTGGCTCCAGTCGGGCTATTTTCTGCTTGATTAGATTTTTCTCTGTGTTCTTAATTTTTCCAAACCCCTCTGGATTGTTTTTCTGCCTTTTGTTCTAACTCCCAAATTCCAATTATTTGCACATTTAATTACTGTGCTGATTCCTCCTCGTTTCTGGCAGAGCCTGATGAGCAGAGCCCGGCTGTCAGTCCTGCTCTTATCTGGGGGAGGGATTCAAGCACCAGGATGAGGGGAGAGGGTCTAAGGAAACCTTGTGCCAGAGGGGGACGTGAGGGGTGGCAGGAGACCTGCTTGGAATGTCCTCAGCCCTCCCATGGCAGTCTGAGCCCCTCTGGAAGTGTTATGGTCTGGCCTCCTGCATGGGAGAGGAGAAGGAGAAGGAGAAGGAGAAGGAGAAGGAGAAGGAGAAGGAGAAGGAAAAGGAGAAGGAGAAGGAGAAGGAGAAGGAGGAGAGGGAAAGAGAGAAAGAAAGGAAGAGAGGGAGGAAGGAAAGAAGGAGAAAGAGAAAGAGAGAGAAAGAGAAAAAAGAGACAAAGAAAGAAAGAGAAAAAGAGAGAAAGAAAGAAAGAGAAAGAGAGAGAAAGAGAGGAAGAAATGAAGAAAAAGAGAAAGACAGAGAAGAAGAAAGGAAGAAAGAAAGAGAAAAAGAGAAAGAAAGAGAAAAAAAGAGAAAGAAAGAGAGAAAGAGAGAAAGAAAGAAAGAAAGAGAAAGAGAGGAAGAAATGAAGAAAGAGAAAGAAAGAAAAATAAAGAAACAGAAAGAAAGAAAGAAAAGAAAGACAAAGAAAGAAAAGAAAGAAAAAAAGAAAGAAAGAAGAAAAGAAAAAAAGAAAAAAGAAAGAAAAGAAGGAAGGATGAGCAGGAGGATCAACAGCCAGATGGGTGCTGAGTGCCATGATAGGCACTGGCCAGGAAAGCAGAGTCTGGGCACAGGGAAATGCAAGTGTGAGGCCTGTGGGCTGAGGACAAAGGCAGCTGTGGCTGTGCTGTCCCCAGGACACTGCCCAGAGACACCTTTTATAGGCAGAAATGATCCTCCAGCTGGAGGTACCAGCTCTTCTCACCAAGGAGGGGGGGTGAGGACCCTCATGAGCCAACTCACCTACACTGGGGAGAGGTGACAGCCCAGGGTCAGTTTATATTCCCCACCTTGGAGTGCTTGGTGATGGCACATCAGCCATCCACATGTACATTCTAGGAAACCAGGCCCCAGGAGGGATCAGAGGAGTTTACAGTTCTGGTGGGGATGGACCCCCCTGTCCCCAATAAGAGCTCCCTTGCCAAACCCAACCCCCAGGATGAGACTTGTGCCAAGAGACACCCTGAGGGTGCTCAGCAGATGATTTTGTTGGCAGCCCTCCTTTTGGAAGCTCTCGAGCCCTTCTCTTCCTGTAACTCTGGGATTTCATGTTCTGGAAACCCTCACCTAAACCTCAAACCCAGAGCTGGGATCTCAGCCCGGTGCCCTGGTTAGGCAGAGCTTGAGTTCCATCACAAGCTTTGCTTTGGACCAGGAATTTTGCCTTTCAGGACCAAGGCAGTGGCCCTGAAACAGGGTCAGGCCCCTGGGGACCAAGGAGGGACAGGGACCCTCTGCCAACCCCTTGGACATGAACGTCTGCACCGTGTGGGTGCTGCACCAGGCACCTGGAGCAGGGACAGCGGGATCCAGCCCCTCCATGCTCTCTCTGCACGGATCTCTGCTTGCAGAGCAAGCAGGAGACACTGAGCATGGACAAACTTTGCCAAATTAGCCAAGCAGGGGCAGCCAGGGCACGAGGGCGGGTCATCAGACCGGGCTCAGCAGGATGGTGATGCATGGAGCCGGGATGAGCTGTGCTCTGATATGGCCCGGCAGCAATGACACCCTGAGCTGCCCTCGATAACACATCCCCTGTGCCATTTCCCTTCCCTGGAAACAAACTGGAGCCAGAGAGATTCCCAAAATGAGGAAACACCGGCAGGAGTCAGCAGCCTTGCCTAAGACTCGTGGAAGATGAAGTAAACACCGCTGAGGCAACACATCCCCCTGTAATCCCTGCTGGCTCCAGAGGGGGATCAGAAACCAGTCCAAAACCAGTTTGTCATTGCACACCAGGACAAGCCCAGGATGTGGAGTGGCAGTTTGGCAGCTGCTGTCCCCTGTCCCCATCACACTGTCACTCACAGCCACTTGGGCACACATCTCTGGAGATGCTCTGTGGGTCCAGGACTGTGAGTGAATTTAAGCTTCTCATTTTGAAAGGTAACTACAAAAAAATACCACTTTCCTTTTCTAGGAGGTCTCATGCTGCTGGTGCTTTGAGACCCATCATCCAGTCACCGTGGTCTCCTCTTCATCCAAATCACCCCTCACAGACCCTTTCCTGCCACAGAGCCCAAAACCAGGGAAGAGGTTGTTGGTGCAGGGTGGGGACACCCCACTTTGCTGTAAGGTGGGATGGAGGCAACACAACACGATTAGTAATTTCCAGCCCTTGGTAAATGAGCATTTGGCACTTGCAAAAAAAGATTCTTGTCAGTGACTTCCTTTGCTTTGGAAACGGCTGAGTCATCCCTAATTCCCGACACACACCAGCAGTGATTCCAGTGCTGGAGGAGGATTAATGGGAGCACCCCTGGCTGAAGGGCAGCCTCTGGGGAGATTCCCTGGGGATTTGGCAGGGACACAGTTGCTGCTGTGTGCCACCCACGGCCCTCCATGGCTGTGCTGCCACACCAAAGCCATGTGCCCGAGGCAAATCCTCCCATCCTGTCCCCTCCAGCCACTCACCACCATCCCCCTCACCGTCATATGGGTGGATACAACCACCCTATATGGGACCACTGTGTGCTGGTCCAGTTGAGGATCCCAGAGGGGGCTGCAGGGTCCTGGGCTGGCCAGGATTTGCAATCAAGTGAGTTCATCCTTGTTTATTTTCCAGTTGCTGCTGCAAAAGGGAACAATGGCCCTAAGACCGGCAGGGCTGGGCAGGTCACCCCGCCCCAGGAAGGAGGTCAAGCCACCATTGTCTTGTCCCAGCTCTTCCTCGCTGGAGGAAGGGCAGGAGCAGCTCAGGAAGGTGTGGGTGGTTGGGCATGACCTGAGGGATCCCCATGGCTCTCCACTGGACAAATGCTTCCTGGGGAAAGGGGACAGCAATGCACTTCCCACAGGAGAGGTTTTGGTTTTGCCAACCTCCCCTGGCCTTTCCCAGCACAGGGACCAGACCTGCCCCTCCAAAACCGGGGACACTCCCTCCAGTCCATTTGCCACCAGGTGGAACCAAATTAAGTGGCCTTGTGGGGACACATTGGGCCACCCCCAAACCAGACCCCATCCCCCGGCACTCTCTGCCCAAGCCCGTGGGGCGATGCCAACTGGGGCACAGGGTTATTTGCAGCAGGGGTTTTGTTTAATTTGGTTCTCGGCACCCCTCCCACGTGGTCATATGCTTTGGAAAAGTCAATGGTTACGTTTGGGTGTTTACATTCTAGCGGAACCATTAGATGTTAATGAGCCTGGCCGGGCCCGGCAGCCTTTTGTGTCAACATAACCGCGGGCTGAGAGCAGAGTGAGCCACTCCTAACGATGGCAAACGAGGCCTTTGAAATGTTGAGGGCCCCGTTCTTTTATCTGCATTTTTTTTTAGGGTTATTTAATTTGCATGGCAAACCCTGTTGAGGTCTTTGAATGGCAGAGCAACAGCAGCGTTCGTTCATTGGCTTCGTGTCTCCCGATGGAGGGAGCAGTTATTGGGAGCTGCTGCCTCGTTAAGAAATGGTAATGGTGTTGCATTACTAAAATTAGCAGCAGAAGTGGTTCTTCCCCCTCCCACCCCAGTACTAAGTGCAGTGAAGCCCCCCCAGCCCTCTGCCCTTCAGCACTGAGGCCGAAGGGGCATTTTCAGTCCCTTCTTTCACCATCACCCACACCCGAGTTGTGTCAGTGAGGAGGATTTTGGGTGGTCTAGGGGTGCAAGGCTGGTTCTTTAATCCCAAGAGATTATCACAGTGTCTTCCCTGCCCTCCCGCGTTTCCTCCTTCTTCCTTCACCTCTCCTGCCCTCTCTGCTTTCTCAGCAGAATCATTAAAATGGTGATGTTTGAGTCAAAATTCCCCTTGCTGGAGGGGCTGGGGCTTTCTAACAGGGAGAATTACATGTATATATTTATTTTCATATATGCAATATATATAGAATATATATTTATATATTTTATATAGACTTTTATATTTTTTTTAATATAAGGAGAAGAGCTCAGGTGATGGTTGGGGGGCCATATCTGGCCCCAAGGGCAGCTGGGAGGGATGCAGGGAGGCAGCACTGGGTGTTCTGTGCTCAGGGAGGTGTGTCCATGCCAGGCTGTTCCTGTTCCTGGGATCCCCCAGCACCCCCTTGCTCTGTTCTGGTTTGGCACTGAGGTTCCAGCACCCAAACCACCAAACTCACGAGCTCAGCCAAGACCAAAAGTCTCCACTGGGGCAGAGTTCAGGTTATTTTGCAGAGGTGTGGGCGGCTGCTGGACACCCAGTGCCCACCCTGGGCCTTTCTGGGCAGGGGTGTTGTTTTGGGGAGGGATTTGGGGGTGCTCCAGGGAGGAGAGGCAGGAGCTGAGCGAGCAGGCAGGGTGGTGAAGGGGACAGGGATGGGCAGCACTGCCTGTCACTGGGGCCAGCAGAGCCTCCTGCCACCCTGGGGAGGGTTTGAAGGAGCCCCACTGCCCCCATGCCATGGGCACAGATGTATCCAGGCAGGCCCACGTGTGTCAGGGCATGTGTTTGCACACGTGTGTGCACAGCCCCAGGTCACAACATCTCCTCTGGGGTCCCTACCTTCCTCCACTCCCAGGTGTGGAGCTGCCCGGGGTGCAGCGTGACCCTCGGGGTGCCCCCTGCACCCCGTCCCGGCTGCACCCCCACTTCCCACAGCCTTTAGCCAGCAGTTTTCCAGCCCTGCAGCATCCCAGGAGCAGGTGAGAGGGGTCCCTGTGCCCGCTGTGCATCCCCTGGGCCCAGCTGGGAGCGGGTAAGGGGGTGCTTGGGGGCACAGCAGTGGCCAGGCTGGGCAGTGCCAGGCTGGGGGGTCCCTCCCGAGCTGCTCCTCTGTCCAACCCTCTGCGTGGGGAGGGGGAGCGGAGGGTGGAGCCTCCATATTCCAGATGCAGGAGCTGTGACATTCAGGCTCGCAGAGGAGCAGAGCCCGTCGGCACTCGGGGACAGCCAGAGCCGGGGGGACACGGGCACCGGGTCAGGGCACCGGGGTGTGACCAAGGACCTGCTGCAGGAAAGGGTCCTGGAGGGAGACAGGAGCAGGACACGGCTGGGAAGGGGCAGCGAAGAGGGGGTGAGGGGAGGAAGGTGCTGGGTCACCCCGGGAGGTGCCGGGGTCCCCCACCCTCGGGGACATGCGGGAGGAGCTGGGCTGTCCCCGGCCCCTCGGGCTCTGAGCGGGACACCCGCTGGCTCCAGCCATGGGGGGCCCGTGGCAGCCGCCCCCGAGGCTGCTGGTCCTGCTGCTCGTCCTGCCGCTGCTCCAGGTGAGTGTCCCTGGGCACGGCGGGGCCGCGGGGGCACAGGGTGGGCGGCGGGCACGGTGGTCCCCCCCGGGACAGCCACCCCAGGGGCGGACAGCGCTGAGAACAGAGTGCTGCCCTCCTGGCAAGGGTGGCATCTTCCCATCCCATCCCCGTCCCTCCGACCCGGGGTGACGCCCTGCGAGCTGCGGGCACCCCCCACCCACGCGGGGGCTTTCGCAGCAGCTCCTGAGGGGGGGATGTGCTGACCCCGGTGATCCTGGGACCCCTCCCATGGCTGGGACAGCGCTCGGGGACCAGCCAGGACACGGCTCCTGCGGGATTCAGCTCCAGGGGCTGCCCCAGGGGGTGATGCCTCAGGTTCAGACCCTCCATCCCCGCGTGGGTTCGGGGGGGACTTTGCTCACATTGTCCTACACCCCTCGAGGAGCCCCAAACCCCGAGGGCCCGGGGGAGCACCCACAGGGATGGCTGGAAGGTGAAGGGGGCAGGGATCATCTGTGGGTGCTCCCAATTCAGGGGCAGAGCCGTGGGGATGTTGGCACTGAACCCCCATGGAACCGGGGGGACACGGGGGGGTTGTGCTGCTGGGGGGATCCACGGTGAATAACTCCCCCCTAGACTTGTCAGATTGCTCCGGGGCCAAAGGAAAAGGAAAGGAAAGGGAAATAAGTGGAAAGGAAGGGGGAAAGGGAATGGAAAAAGAAAGGGGGAAAAAAAGAAAATGAAACAGGAAAAAAAAGGGAGTAAAGGAGGAAGGTTAGGTTAGGTTAGGTTAGGTTAGGTTAGGTTAGGTTAGGTTAGGTTAGGTTAGGTTAGGTTAGGTTAGGT